GTCCCTGTGCCCCTCAGGTGAGAGCCCACCTGCAGAGCTGCCCCAGCCCTGGGGCCAACAGCAGGAGGACGTGGAGCTGCTGGAGAGAGCCCAGAGGAGGCCCCAGAGCTGCTCCAGGGCTGGACCCCCTCTGCTCTGGAGCCAGGCTGGCAGAGCTGGGAATGTTCCCCTGGAGAAGGGAAAATTCCAGGGAATGCTCAGAGTCCCTGAAGGGGCTCCAGGAGAGCTGAAGAGGACCTGGGGACAAGGCCTGCAGGGACAGGACCCAGAGAATGGCTCCCATTGTCAGAGGGCAGGGCTGGATGGGATCTTGGGTATTAGGAATTGTTGCCTGGGAGGGAGGTGAGGCCCTGGCACAGGGTGCCCAGAGCGGCTGGGACTGCCCCTGGATCCCTGGCAATGCCCAAGGACAGCCTGAACAGGGCTTGGAGCAGCCTGGGATAACAGAAGGTGTCCCTGCCATGGCAGGGGCTGGAATGGGTTGAGTTTTAAGGTCCGTTCCAATAGGAGACATCATGCTGAAAGTGTGGCTGACACGCCTGAGGGACAGGATTTTTTCCACAGGGACCTGGAGGATCTCAAGATGAGGGCCCATGGGAAGTTCATGAGATTTAATAAGGAAAAGTGGGCCTAAATCACTCAAGAATAAAAGAAAGAGTGAATGACACAAAAAAAAAACAGAGGTAGAGATGAACAGTCCTATACTCTCCACGTGTTCAACAGGGCTTGCCAGACTGACAAAATAAATGTGGCAAAAGAAAATTGGTGCTGCAGGAGTTTGGAAGAACAATGTCACATTTGTTAAGTTTCTGCCTACTCAGCCAGATTTGTCCACTCCGCAGCTGGAGTTGGAAGATCAAATTAATCCAGAGAGGAAGTGGGGTTATTTCTGTGTATACAATTCAGTGGGAAGGAAGGGGGCTGGAAATTAGTCACTCATTACCTTCCTCATCAGTACAAACTCACAAACAGATGTTGCAGAAACACAAGCTATTTTAACACTCAATAAGAGATGTAGCGACTCAAATTTACATGTGTTACCCAAAAGACAGTCAGGAGCCTTTAGAATCAACATTAAGAAAAACACAGAATTAAGGAAAATGTATTTCACCTCTGTTGCTCCAGGCTGTGAAGTGCAGCTATAGCTTTTTAATAAAACTCACCTTTGGGCAGCAACAAATCACAGAAGATTTCAGCTTAAGAAATGAACATTTCAAACAGTTACAGAGCTAGAATAGGGTTATAACAGAAATTCTTTTACAGTCTTAACTGCAGAATGGATTATCACTCGCTTGACTGCAGTAACTGCACTAATATGCACAGCCTGTATGGCTAGCAAGAAAAAAACATCAAATATTTTTTCTTTTCAGCTTGAATCAAACAATAGATTAAAATGGATTTCTTGGTTTGTTCACAGCCTTGATTATATTGATTATATCATCCTCATTCATAAGGGGACATAAAAACAAGAGTTCCAAGAGCACAGCATCTATCCTGAATTCAGGTAGACATAAACCACTGTACCTTCATCAAATACCCATCCTCTTGTTCACTACAAACAAAACTGACAGGGCAGTAAACAGGAAAAAGACAGAAGAAGAACCACTTACCACATGCGGGAATCAACTTCATATTTGTATAAATCATCTGCCAGCCTGTACTTGTTGGCACTGAAGGCTTTGTAACCCCCATGGATATAGATTGATCTTGTATTTGGATCATAAACACTGCTGTGACCATATCCTCCTTGCACCAGAGCGCCACTCGTCTGCAAGATGCTCCAGGTATTTGTCACTGAAAAATATGAGTGACAAAACATGGTTCATTTCTGTCCATGTGACTCATCAACATCATGGTGAAATAAATTGGGATTCCCCTGACTCAGATCTAGACATTGTCTCTATCACTTGGTATCCAAAAATATTCCCCTTCAAAAAGGCTGTTGACAAGAAGCATTGCCAAGTATTTTTAATTGGAGCAGAAATAGCTCTTCTACAGTCATTTTTTACATTTTGCAGACAAGCTAAGTAAATGAGAAATAAAAAGTAGACAAATAATAGATTGTATTTCAATGACATGAAAATGCCAGCACTGTGACTTGATTTGGAATGGGACTCAAGAGCACTTTTACTTTTTATATATATATAAATATATATATAAAGCCAGACAAGCACTGAAGCCAAGTCTGACTGTGAAGAACACTGCAGTTAAAAACTAATATGTGATTCATGATCCTATATCTCACTCACTAAAATAACATTGGTATGAAGCACTTTAGACATATTACAATGGTAACTGAAATAGAAATACCACATTACGCATCAAATCTCTGTAGTAAGTGCTGAATGAAACCCTATACAAGCTTTCCAATTCAGGCATGGCAGGCACACCAAAGGCAAAGGAAGTGAACAGTCTCCAAGATCACACATGGCAGAAAGGGCCACTATTCCTGAGAATAGCCAGCACACTCCAATTGTGAACTTCCTGTGCCTAACTACAATCCTGACATGGTCCATGGAGCCAGGAATGTGCTTCCCTTTCTGAACTAGGTACAAGTTCAGTTTGCCTGGAAAACTTCCTGTGCTTCTCCGCTGGTTACACTAGAAATCTCTAGATCCTAAAATCAGAGCCTGGACTATTCCAGGATATCAGAATCCAGAAATTCAGCACCTGTTTCCTACAGCATCTGCTGCTGGGGACATGGGTGTCAGGTTAAGCAGACATTTGGTCTGAAGTGTTACAACCATTACTATATTTGCAGAATTAAAAAATAATTTCAGAAGTGTTTGTTTTGTCAGAAGAAGAGAGAAAAACTAATCTAAATTGTTCCAGAGTTGCCCTGCTTTACCTCTCAATTACAGCTTGATATCTTTGGGATCTAACTCCGTGTATAAAGCTGAAGGCACGTGGCTGCCTGCTCATTGGGTTCTACAAATCCATTAGGCTCCACTTCTTGTACATGCAAACAGGAGGAGGAAAACACATTTGCCTGTGTTTCCTATCTGAACAGGAGTGGCTTAAATAAGCTGCAAAGTAGCTGCACAGTGTCAGGGCCAGGCAGGAGGGCTGCATCCCTCCCTCACTCACCCAGGTTGTACTCCTGGACATTGCTGATGTAGCCATAGAGGGGGCAGTGCCCGAAGAGGACCAGCATGACGGTGCTGTTGTCCCGCAGGGTGACCACGTGGGCCGAGTGCCCCACCACAGCGTACTGCTCCTTGGTCCGGGGTGCCAGCATGGCCCAGCTCTGCCTGGGGATGTGGAACACCCACAGCTGGCTGCTCACGTTCCCCGTGGCATCCAGCTTTCCGCCATACATGTAGATGTTATCCTGAAAGAACGCACATGAGGGCACAGAATGCAGCATTTAGGAAAGGGCTGCTTGGTAAGCAATGAAGCTACTGCTCTAAAGTTACTTAGTAAAGTCCCCTGGAGAGGGACTGGGGACAAGGCATGGAGGGACAGGACACAGGCAATGGCTTCCCACTGCCAGAGGCCAGGAATGGATGGGATGTTGGGAAGGAATTGTTCCCTGGAACATCCTGGCACAGGATGCCCAGAGCAGCCGGGGCTGCCCTGGATCCCTGGCAGTGCTCAAGGCCAGGCTGGACACTGGGGCTGGGAGCAGCCTGGGACAGTGGAAGGTGTCTGCCTGCAGCAGTGGATTGGGACTAGATGATCTTTAAATTCCCATCCAACCCAAACTATTCTGGGATTCCATAATGAATTTCCATGCTTTGAGGTTCTTCAAGTGCTGTTTGTGCATGACGGTGCGTGGAGTTTTTTGAGTATTTATGATTAAGTTTTGCCCAGGGCTGCACTGTTTGAGCTAAACAACATTCCAAAACACAAAGGTCAATAAAGGTTCAGCTCATTTCCTTTCCACAGACTTTGCCATCCTGCTCTCATATGGTCTGCACTCACAGCAAGACACACAGGTGAGAAAAGAGGAAAAAATAGTCAAGTCCACTTGCTGTGTCAGATGTTGGAAGATTAGATTCACAAATTTATTTGCAGAGCAAGTAACAAAAATCCCTAATACCCCAACTCTTGCTTTGGTGTCTTGGACAACAGAGCTCATAAAAATATTCATGTGATCTACATAAAAAACAGCTGGGGAACTCCAGCAAACTCAGCCTCAGGCATTGTTGTCAGCACAGACAGGAAGAAGGAAATAATGGACTCAGTGGCCTCAAATATCACACTCTAAAGCTCTGGAAAAAGGGCAAAGAAGGAGCACATAGGCAGAGACACTACAGACTTCCTAGGGTTCCCTGGAGCACAAGGGTACAGCCTGGGCTAAGCATGGACAAGCCTCTGAATGAGGAACACTTCTCCCAAAGCAAAGCTGATCTGGGACAAGGAGTGGGAAGCAGCAGAGAAGAAAGGGAAATCAGCTGGGAAGTGAGTCTGGAAAACTGAACTTACCTTGTGCAATGCCAACGAATGACCATATCTCATCTCTACTGAGTTCACAGAGCTGTTCAGTGGAAGCCACTCTTCAGAAATTAGATCATACCTGTATAATTAAAACTGAATTACTTTCCAAGGATTAGGTATTAAAGCTAAGAATATGATTGCTTGTCCTTTCTAAGATTTGGGGAAAATTATTTACCAATATAGTTTATTATCTAGCTATTAACAGATCTAGATATATATATATATATGTAGATAATAGATATATTTAGATATAATTATTTACTGAAATAATAAATCCTGCCATGATTTCAGCATGCACAAAGCTCAAACAAATTACTTATGGGATAAAAAAAGTTGAGCCTGCTCTGTTACTCAACATCCATATATTGATTTCCTTTATCCTGTTTTCTTTTCCATAAAAACCCAAGAGCTAGTGCATTACCTATTAAGCTGTGACAACCTACACCACTTCTCCCTCAAAAAAGTAGGAAAACTTTACACTAAACTTAGGTGATTTTCAACTACTTGATTAAAAAAACTCTGCAAGTGCTTAAAAAACACTTTTAAAATATCTTTGCCATTCATGCTTAAAATAGCATAAACCCTCAGCACTATATTTGCCAAGCTTGGGGCCTTGTGAGATAAAATCATCTGAGAAACCATTCAACAAAGCCATAGGGTATCCTATTAAAAAACAAGGTGTGACTTCGGAGGAGTAAATTGTGGGTGCAACTAGCAACTGCTCTACATTTAAATGTGTGTTTTCAGCTTCTCTTCCCCTATAAGAACTATTCCCTCAGGATGTGAGTGCAGAATACACAGCTCTCACTTAGGTCCATCAAAGTGAGGTATGTGAGTATCTCTGGAAAAAAATCCAGCTTCTGCCTAAATCTGCCCTAAAACAATACAAAAGCTGGTTTTTTTTTTTTTTTAATGGAGTATTTCCATGAAGTACACAATTATTACTTTATATTTCAGTTACTGTTAAACCTCCTCAAACAATTGCATAAATGCCCTCATCCTAATGCCATTCCCTGTTTGGTGTCCCGTCCACTGTGGATAACCATCCAGAGTAATCTGTAGGTGTTAATTAAGGAGCCAAAAACTCAAGTCACACAAACACAACATAGCAAAGGGCTAAAATCACTGAAGCAAAATAACCCTCTTTGAATAGGGGCTAGATATAATTTAGGAGCTGGCCCAGAAATATACAGAGAATAGTTAAATGCTGTCAGACATAGATGAATCAAAAGCTCACTGAACATCAGGAACCTTATGCTTTTCTTTTCCAAAATTAGCATCCCCCATCTCAAACGTGAGCCTGAGTTTTTATTACAGTTGTTTTCCCTTGGAAATGAAGCACAGACCAAAGCACAGCACATCAGGTGGTATTTCCTAAAAATAACTCTCAAATCTGTGTTCCTATCTTTAGTTTTTGTTATATGGGTTTTTACTCACGCTAAAACCTTCTGAGAGTCAGAATGATTGAAGACATAACCTCCAACAATCCACATTTTATTGTCATGGATAATGGCTTTGTGAGATGCCCTAGCAAGTTTTGGAAGACTGTATTCTTCCCGGGTCCAAAACGACTGGTTTGCAGGAAGACGAATTGAACAGCCAGGACCTGGGAAAAGAAGGTTTAAAAGCGGGTTTTTTCCAAATCCTGTATTTCAGCTGGAGGTCAGTCTCCTGCTAGTGCTGTAGCTCGTTGCATTTAATACGAGATTAATTCTTACATGTCAGTAGGTTTTTGCAAAGGAAACATGTATGTTCAGGCCAGATCACTGCCAAGTTGGGTGTGGCAGATCAGCTCAGCTGGACACAAGAACAAGGCATTTCACATGTTCAAACAGGTCAACTATGGCAACTAGGCTCAAATTTGCTTCAGGTGCATAGGAATGAGGCTTGAAGGGATGTCTGTATACCATAAATTAGTCCCACTTTGGATGGTGACAAAGTTGCTTTTAAAAGCAATTGTAAAAAAACCACAGAATCACACACTGGGATGCGTTGAAAAGATCCCCCTTCCACCCCGCTGCCATGGCAGGGACACCTTCCACCATCCCAAGAGTGCTCCAAGCCCCAGTGTCCAACCTGGCCTTGGACACTGCCAGTGTGAAGCCACACCTTGAGTGCTGTGTCCAGTCCTGACCCCTCAGCTTAGGAAGGAGATTGAGATGCTTGAGCATATCCAGAGGAGGCAACGAGGCTGGAGAGGGGCTGGGAACACAAGCCCTGTGAGGAACGGCTGAGGGAGCTGGGGGTGCTCAGCCTGGAGAAAAGGAGACTCAGGGTGACCTCAGCACTCCCCACAGCTCCTGAAAGGTGCCTGTGGGCAGCTGGGCTTGGGCTCTTTTTCCAGGAACTCACAGAACCAGAGGTCACAGCCTCAAGCTGCTTCAAGGGAAATATAGGTTGGATATCAGGAAAACGTTTTTCATAGAAAGAATGAAAAAGTTTTGTAATGGCCTGTCCAGGAAGGTGGTGGAGTCACCATCCCTGGATGTGTTTAAAAAAAGACTGGATGTGGCACTTGGTGTCATGGTTTAGTTGAAGTGTCAGGGAAGGGGTTGGACTTTATCTTGAAGGTTTCTTCCAATCTTGTGATTCTGTGATCCAGGGGCAGCCACAGCTGCTCTGGGCACCCTGTGCCAGGGTGTCATCACACTCATTGTAAAAAACTTCTTCCTTACATCAACTCTAAACCAGCCCAGTTTCAATTTAAAGTCATTCCCCGTTATCCTGGCATTCCAGGCCTTTGTCCAACATCCTTCTCCAGCTCTCACAGAGGCCCTCTGAGCACTGGAAGTGGCTCTCAAGTCTCCCTGGAGCCTTCTCTTCTCCACACCCCCAGCTCTCCCAAACTATCTCCAGAGCTGAGAGGCTCCAGCCCTTGGAGCTTCTCTGTGTCCTCTCTCCAGCATATCCATCCTTACAAATGAAGTATGATCTTTTAAATTTAAAAAGCAAATACTCTGTTCCTAGTCAAAATTCCTTGTCATGCAGAATATTCCCACGTCCTCCCAATTAAACTGCCAGCTCCATACATAGAAAATACACCCCCAAAGTTCTGTGTACCCAGCAGGAGACTCACCTTGCCAGCCTGCAGAGCACACACATGCTTTGGAGCTGTTGAGGCTGCAGTGGCCCCTCTCAGGAGCCCCGCAGTTCCCCGGGCAGTAGGGAATGTCACAGGCCTCTCCCTTCCAGCGTTCGGCGCACTCGCACTGCGGGGCCATGGTGCTGCTGTTGAGCCTGCACTCCCCTTGGCCAGAGCAGTTATTGGGGCACACATTGAAACTGGGGACAGAGCACAAAGCAGCTCGTCAGGAAGGAAAGAGATTTTCAAGAATTATTAACAAATGCAAGAGTGATGATGAACAAAGTGAATATACATCATTACAAACCAAAAGAGAGTCATCTGCTACCTGGTGTAATGCACCTGTAGAGATTAGTACTCTATTCCTAAAAAACTGCCTCATTGCACAAGTTAAAGTCGCAGTTCTTCTGAGAAAATTATCAATATGATTTTTAGCCATTTGTAAGGCAAACTACTTGCCTTAAAACAGTAAGTGAGGACTTTAATCAGAGTATAAGGCTGCTGTGGTGTCTGTGCAATTTATACTTAAACTGCTCACAATTAGGTGCTATTCTGGGATCTGCTTACCAAAAGAACTACTGGAGATGAAACCCAAGCCAAAGACATGCCTGGTTTGAATAATTCCTGATTTTATAATATCTGTAATGTAGCTGAGGCAAAACCAGATACAACCTTGGTAAAGGTCCAAATTTTGAGATCATAATAATTTCCAGACTCCAGTTTTTGCTGGTGTATCAACCAGAATAATTTACAGATGGGATTTAGTACCCATATTCTCACTGTCACCGGCTCCAAGGCATAATTTCACAAGTGTTCACTGAACTACTCCCTACACTCAGTAGTAACTATGAAAACTGGTATGTACCATTCTATCTACTTGCTGGAAGAATCTTACAAAGCAACCTAAGAACCAGAAGACAAAACAGCACTTGAAAATTGTTTGAAATTATGAAGAAAGTGAAGAATTAAAAAAATACTGTTCTTGAGGACAGTATTTTATTGCAATGGTGCAAATCCAACAGCTGACAGTAGATGGAGTCCTGGTTTATGCAATCAGCCAGACTTGGAAAACACTGTCTCTTCAGCTCCTCTGGTCCCAGCAACTTTGCATAGGCTCCTCATCTTATTCTGGAGCTTTCAAGGGGTGCTGGATGCCCTATATTTTTAAAAAATTCACTAGTATGTAGGTTATAAAGCACATATTTGTGTTCTTACTAAGGATGAAAGCACTCAGACTTGATATTAAAAAACTAAGCTCCACATTTTAAGAGAAAGTCAACTTTTGCAATAAGTCAGTTATGACTGAAGTTTTTCCTGCTGCTTTTTCTGAAAGAGGCAAGACCTTCTGCAGGTTACTCCCAAATTAAATCTCCCAGTGTGGCACAAACATAACTTGCATCTGTAGGAGCAAAAAAAATCTAAAGCTCATGATCCCTACAGAACCAAAACCTTCCATCTTTGTGAGTATGTCCACACATTTATCTCAAGACAAAACCTTTCTAAAAGCAGTTGATGAATTAGGGAGCATAACAGAATCATTTTTAAAAAGCTCATCAATGAGGACTAAATAGATGTCAGTGAACAGAAAGCACCCATCTGTTTAGAACATGAATGAAAGAATATAAAACCAGTCCAGAATAAAAAGAAGCCAGATGAAGGGATTAAATCCAGGGATCGAATAAGAAAGCAAATCCCAAGGGTAAGGACCCTCAAGAGCACGTACAGCCCAGTGTCTCAAGTGAAATGTGTGGCTGATGGAAGTGTGTTTGTGCTAGAGTATCTCTGCAGAACACTCAGGAGCACAGACATGCACAAAACATCAATTCTTGTTGATTAGATAAAATCAAATTGAGCTAATAACATAAAATAAATAATAGGATGACTTTTGGAGCAAACATTCGTCCACACTTACAACTGACAAGTTGTAACATTGAGCACATGCCACTTATTAGCTGTTGCAAGGTATAATAAAGATAAAAATCTAATTCCAGTTGTCTGCTCATAATTACATACTTCAATGGCAATTTCTAATTTCAAGACAAAAGTAAGAAAAGGGGAAAACTCCTTTTGCTCAACCTGCAGCATCCCTGTGGAGTGGTGCCACTTACTTATAGGTGATGTTAAACCCTGTGAGATTATAGGCAGCATCACTGAAGAAATGTAGAAGAGCATATCCAGAAGTAGCTACAACTTCAGGTACTGTTTCATTGCTGTCTTTCTCAGGAACAATAAGACCACTGGAAAAGTAAAAGAACAATATCAGAAGTAAAATAAAAGGGAGCAAAGCAACAAGAGTGAATGCACCACTACTTTCAATAAAATAAATGAATTTCAAAAAATTAATTGAAACTCAATGTATTTCCATTATTTGAAATACAGTGAATTTGTGGACTCAAATAAATGTATGTTGGAAGTATTTAACCTGAAGTTATATAGAATGTCCATATAAAAAACCTTTCCCTCCCTTGTTATTCAGCAAAGAATTAAGCAGGTCCCATTCATAAAACAAGGTGGCACGTTTGGAAATGGAAATTAATGTATCCCAAAAGAATAAAATCTGTATTACAAAGTTAAACTAAAGGTCTGCTGAGCTCCTCCTGACTGTGGGCTACAAAAATGACTGGGAAAGGCTGTGACAAGCCAAGCAAGCACAGAGCATTGTGTGATGTGTAATCCAAATCCAGACACCAGGGTTCAGATGCATAGACCTGGAGAATGCATCCAAGCCAGCACAGTTAAACAAACCACTTATCATGCTTCTATTCAATTCATTTCTTAATCATTTGTATCTTTTTCACCTAAAAAATCTGCAGCAGTGAGGTTAACAATTTAACTCTATAACAGCAGAAAAAGGATTATTCTACTCATTTTTGACTTGCTGCCTCTTGGGTTCCTTTTCTATGAGAAACAAGAACTATCAGCCATGGAATCACAGACTGGTTTGCATTAGAGGCTTAAATCAGAGACTCCTCTCCTTCAGCCCCTGCCATGGCAGGGACACCCTCTGCTATCCCAGGCTGTTCCCAGCCCCAACATCCAGTCTGTCTTTGGACACTCAAGGGATCAAGGGGCAGTCACAGCAATCTGAGCACCCTGTGCCAGGGCCTCACACCCTCACAGGGAAAAGCTCCTAATTCCCAAGATCCCATCCATCCCTGCCCTCTGGCAGTGGGAGCCATTCCCTGGGTCCTGTCCCTCTGTCCCTTGTCCCCAGTCCCTCTCCAGCTCTCCTGGAGCCCCTCCAGGCCCTGCAAGGGGCTCTGAGCTCTGCCTGGAGCCTTCCCTTCTCCAGGGGAACATTCCCAGCTCTGCCACCCTGGCTCCAGAGCAGAGGGGCTCCAGACCAGGAGCAGCTCCAGGGCCTCCTCTGGGCTCTCTCCAGCAGCTCCAGGTCCTCCTGCCCCAGGACTGGGGCAGCTCTGCAGGTGAGCTCTCACCTGAGGGGCACAGGTGCCCTACCCTGCTGCCCACGCCAAGATCAGCCCAGGGCACGGGGACTTTCTGGCTCCCAGCTCACAAGGCCAGGGCATGTGTAGTTTCTTACCCACCAGCATCACCAAGTCCTCCTCCCCAGGGCTGTTCTCAATCCCTCCATCCCCCAGTCAGTTCTCTTACTCAGGATTGCTCCAGTCTGATGCAGGACCTTGCTCTTGACCTTGCTGTATCTCATGAAGTTCCTACACTGCCAGTCCTTGAGCATGCCTAGGTCCCTCTGGATGCCATCTCATGCCTCTGGCATTTCAACTGCCCCACATCTTCTCATCATCCCTTATTTTATAAGCTCCACGTGGCTAATCATATCCATGTTTGTTGTCTTTTCTATCATAGCAGCCTGTCACACTCTCAACACCCACCTCATTCTTTAATTCACACTTCTGGATGCCTTTGGCTGTTTCTCTCACCCTTCCAGTTCCTCTGAGATCCTCCAGTCTTTTAGTTTTCCAGGACTGGCACAGAGAAGCAAAGATGCTGGGCAAGACTATCTACAGTATTCCAGACACACTACAGATTTATATAATGGTTTATCAAAATAATTGGAGTAAAATGACAAACTGAAATGAGTTTCAAAAAAAGTAACTACTTCCTATTTACCTATTGCACTAAATACTTTGCATCTGAGAGGGAATGTTTATTTTTCACTTAACAGAAGCCTGACAAAACCAAAAAAAAGTAAAAGTTGATTCCTCCCTCATACAAAAGGCAAAGTGGGCACAAATTCAAAGTCTATTGAATCCATGTACAGCACATTGTCTACCACCCCCTGTTCACAGTCAGCTGCTGTTTTCCTGTACAGATCCACCTTTCCCCAGCCTCAGCCCCATTTTCCAAGGCAAAGCTGTGTGACAAGCAGGAACTCGAGTAGCAGAGCAGAGGGTCTGAGGCAGGGAGCCAAGGGAAACAGCCTGGCCTCGCCCTGTGCCCAGCCCCAGCAAGCAAAAAGCAATGATGAGAATTTCCCCTCAAGAAGAACTTAATTATCCTCTTTTCACATCTACTTAGAATAGAAAGCAAATGCAGTTGAAGACAGTTTCCTAGGACAAAGTAAATTAGTTTATTGCTAAAAGAAATCACTCCCAGCAATCCACAGCACCCACTAATACCACCTGGGAAGCACTTTTATGTGACCTGGACTTTTCTGTCCCCATGACACAATACAATGGTGTGTTCCAAGAACAGAACAGACACCAGCAATCCTTTTTGCTACAGATCTGGGGGTATTTGCACCAAAACCAGCACGTGGACAAGCTACCTACAGCAAGATCACCCTGAAAACTGCACAACAGCCCTTTCTGCACAACAAATCTTATGGTGGACAAAAACACACCATAAAAATCACTGGAACCTGACCCCATGTTTTGGCTAAGCAACTCCAGCACATCTGCTGATAAGACATTTCAAGAAATATTTCCTTATGAGAAAGCCAGATTTCCCCCCACTGTTCATTCATTTCTCAATGATATAGGATTAAACAGCAAAATTAATTCCCTTTTCTTCTCTCTGGAAGAGGTGCCTTGTTTCATTTTCAACATTTGAGACTTCTGAAGTTTATCTCTCCCAAAAGACCACCTCCCACAACACCAAAGAACAAAAAGCCTAGCAAACTTCTTGTTTGGTTCATAATATTCCTTTGTAATGGACATTGTAGGACAGTACATCTCCACCACAGGAAAAGAAACATTTGAAAATAATTTGGGTGAGGCAAACTGCAGCTCAGGGACAATAAAAAATTGTTTTGTTCTGGTTTCTTCTTCAGCACTTATCACTCATATTACAGGGCAAAGTAAGTGGAAGGCAAAACAAAAATTCCCCTCAATAATATGTCCTAATAAAAGGACTATCACCAGACAATTCTTTGTTTTCTCACAGAAATCTCAAATTTGGGATTTGTTTGACCAAAACATAGGTACCTCCATAACAATGCTTACAACACAGATACTCCCCATTTCCATCTTTTTCTGGTGATTCATGTGTAAATAACTAAAGAGGATGTTATCCCACCTACACAAATTTAAAACACTCTAAGGAAACTTAATGACAGAATTGTCTGAGTTGGAAGGGGCCTTAAAGGTCATCTAGTCCAAGCCCCTGCCATGGGCAGGGACACCTTCCACCAGACCAGGTTGCTCCAAGTCCCCATCCAACCTGGCCTTGAACATTTGCAGGGATGGGGCATTTTAATTTCTTTCAGAGAAAGCCATGAAGAGAACACAACACAGTAGGAACAATCAGATGCCTGAAAGGTTGAACCTCAAAAACAGTGAATTAGTCAGCCTGCTCCCAGCATCATATGGAATACACAGAAGCACATCAGAATTTACATCTACCATGAAAAAGAATCCAATAGGCAGAATCAGAATGATAAAAGATTATGCAAAACTTCCTTTAAATTACGATCCAGAATCTCTGAGCAACTCAACTCTGGCCAAGATTAGCATATTTCACAACACACTGCTTTTATTTCCTTTCATAAGGTTTCAAAACATTTTGCAATCATCTCTACTCCAAAGCAAATAAACATTCCTACTCAGCTCAGCTGCCCAGTGACACCCAGGGAAAGGCAAACCTCTGCTTTGGACCGAAATAACATTTATCTCCTGCAGGCTGGATTGCTGAAGTCAATGGCAGAAAGTAAAAAAGTATCAGAGAATCAATCAAACATACAATGGACTGAGTTGGGAGAAACTTTAAAGATCATGCTGCTCCACCTCCTGCCATGGGCAGGGACACCTCCCACTATCCCAGGGTGCTCCCAGCCCCAGTGTCCAGCCTGACCTTCAGCACCTCCCAGGGAACAATTCCTACCCAGTATGCAATCTAGACCTACTCTCTGATAGCAGGAAGCCATTCCTCCTTGTCCTGTCACTCCATCCTCTTATCCAAAGTCCTCAAACTCATCATGGAGGCTCACTTCAAGTACTGCAAGTCCACAATCCAGGAGACCCAACTACTCCACTGCCCTGTTCCTTCCCCTAATACATTGAAAAATCAGAATAATTCAAAACAAAGGACACCTCCTCTATTACTTTTCCTGGATTTGCTATGTGAATATCATGGTACTGGCATATTCTTCATTTCCTCCAGGGACACAGCCTCTTAGAGATCAAAGCATGAGAAGCTCTACTGAGCAGAAAAAGGGCAAAATTGGGAGTCACAAAAGGAAAGGGTGAAAATACACAGTAGAGCTCATGGAGAAGCAAAAGAATAAAGATGATACTGAAAAATCAGCTTTTCAATCCATCAAAATCCAATGCAAACAAATTTTCCTAATTTTTAAATACTTTGATCCATCTGGTCACACACACAAATGGCAACATTTCTGTTACTAAACACCAGTCCATGCACCTAATTCATACTCAGAACTACAACAGTAAAACTAAACAACATAGAAGTTACAGAAGACTAAAAATAAAACAATAGTAAAAAAATTAAAAAGGGGTGGAGAATATAAGGAGACATCTCAAATTTATTGCCTTAAATGAAGCAAGATTACTCCCAAACATGGACTTTTAAGGAAACAAAGCCATTTCAATAGCACATACTAAAAAAAACCTAGACTATAGATTCATTACAGAGCTGACAGTCCCCCAAATTACAGTCTTTCTTGAAATCTTCTCCCCTTGGTGCAGTACAGGCAGACCCAGCTGCTGCAGCACCACCACAGGGAAGCTTGTCTGCCTGCAGAAGCTTCCAGATCAGGGGCTTTGCCCAAAAACATCCTCAGTTCTTGCATGACTGTTGTTATCAAAGAATCACGGAACAGTTTAAGCTGGAAGGGACCTTAAGGATCATCCCATCCCACCCCTCC